GGCCCACTGGGTGATAAAAAGTTTGTGATCCAGCCCCACATTCAAAAAGGTTGGACACCCCTGAGCTAGACTCTTTTCACTGATGGCAGATGACTGAACAAGGAGCAACAGTCTCAAGTTGCAGCAAGCGAAGTTTGGGTTAAATATTAGGAAAAACTCTCTCACTAGGTGGGTAGAAAAACACTGAAAAAGATTACCCAGAGAGGCTGTGGAATCTCCATCCTTAGAGGTTTTTAAGATCTGGCTAAACAAAGCCCTGCCTGGGATGACCTAGTTGGGGATGGTCCTGGTTTGAGCAGGGGACTGGACTAGCTGACCTCCTGAGGTCCTTTTCAACCCTAATTTTCTATGATGCTAAGATTCTATTTCCCTGAAGTTAAATTATTATCCAAGTCGACAGAGAGTCAGTGTCAGATTGGCAGGCTCCTGTCTCCTAATCCTGTCTTGAATTGCTTGTCTTTTTTAAATCAAATCAAGGATCTGTGTAGTTATTTTTTGTCCTTCACTGTCATCTCTGTTTGGTAGGGGGTACCAAAAACACATCCTTCTGACTTGATCCCTATAAGCTATCAAGAAGGCAGTAGGGCTGTGCAAAGCTTTGGTCGCTGATTCAATTTGGAGGAGATTTGGCCTGATTCGGGGGGCACATCTCCGAATCTGAATTGAATCAGGAGACCCATTAAAAGCTCTGAATCAATTTGAAGCATCTGAATTGATTTGGAAAAGATTCGGAAAAGATTTGGAGATTCAGTTGGGCCGGAGAAAGGCAGGCACAGCCGGGTGGCTGTAGGTTCTCCTGTGGCTCTTCTAGCTGTGCCTGCCTCTCCCCAGGAGGAGGAAGCCCCCGTGGTTGCCCTGCCTGGCACCATCCCCCACCTGTCCCCGGGGTTACTTTTACTTACTTTTAAAGAGTGTAGTACAACAGAGGTCTGATTTTGCTCAGTTTGGTTAGGTGCTAAAGCAGTGTTTCTCAGCCTAGGTTATGCTGTAAACTTCTAAGGATACGTGAAAGGAAAGACTGGGAAAAGAGAAATGTAAATGGAAGAAAACGAAGAAAAAATAAATTGAGACTAAGTCCACAATATCACCGAGATGGCTGAAGGGGTTGCATCTGGATGTAGACAAAGTTTTGTTCGTTTATTTTTATAGTCCAGGGATATGCAGCAGGATAATTGAAGAAGGTTGTACACAACTCAAAAAAGTTTGAGAATCACTGGACTAGTCTAATACAAACAGGGACAGGAAATGACCCAAATTTTCCTTTAAGCAAGAAAGCATGTGGGTTCAGGTCTGACTGGCTTTTACTACAGGGTGTTATGCCACATGTAGGAAGAAGCCAGGGGCTCAGTATTTGTTGTAGTCAGTGAGTCTGTGCAGGTGAGTCACAAGCCCTGAGGTCACTGATTGCACAGATCCCTACATTAGCATTTATGCATCATCCTGTGACAGCCACTTCTGCTTTGGTTTCTCAGTTGTTTTCCTACGCCCTCTACAACTTCCTCCTTTCCAGCCAAGCAAGCTGATGTGGAGTTCCCCTTTCTCTCATTTTAATGTCTTCAAACTGGTTGAAAAAACATCCTTTGAGAAGTAGATCCATGGTGAAGCAACTGAAACCTGATTCTCTCAGGCAGGGTGAGGAGCTACAGCAGGCACAGGCACCAGCATCCCCCATGCTGCCCTACCGGAGACCCAAGTTTCTGCATGGAGTGCAGTCTGTGAAAGAGCCTGGCAAGCGGCCTATTTACTGCCCAGCCCGGGACAGGCTGCTGCCGTGGAAGACGGGCTATGCAGAGTGAGTCCTTTTCTCTCTTGAGTTCCGGGTGGAATGGGAAATGGAGTCAGCACATGGCTGGTTCTGGCAGAGAGAGAGAGAGAGAGAGAGAGAGAGAGAGAGAGTGTACAAGTGTCCTGATGATTTTTGGGTGGAAACCAAAGGATGACAGATCTAGATTTAGTAATGTGCCAGCCTTATTCTGACAGTCTTACTCAAATCCCACACTGAACAATGGGAAATTATTCTGTTTGTCCACTGGAGATAGGACAAGAAGTAAATAGAATGGGTACAACTGTTAAGACAGCTTGCAGCAAATGAGACTCTAATCTTCTTATGCTGGGATTGTGCTTTATTTCATATCTGGGCCATGGTCCTCATGGTGTAGCAGTCTAAGCCTAGGTGTCTACCAAAGCAGCCTTGAAAGATTTACATGCAGGGGCAAATCTAGGATTTTAAAGAGGCGGGTTCAGATGGTATGATATAAAAAGAAACTAGAAGCTTTACTAGTATGCTAAGGGCCTAGGACTACATTACTTGGTTTAAAAATTGAAGCAAAAAGAAATATAACTTTATTGGAATGTCTATTAATTTTCTATATCATATATTATGTATTAAAAATACAACAAACTAGACAAAATAATCAAAATATGTTGTTTCTCTCGTCCTGTAATCATTAGAATTATGGTAAATGTACATCCCTTTCAGATTCATACAACAAAATCAAGCCTTCTTAAGCTTCTTGACAGTGCATCTAATGCTTTACTGAAAGTTATTTCCGCACCTAAGTCAATGTTCACCTGAGTTAATATTTGCACACCCAAGCTAATGTTTTTAGCTAGAGTTAAAAACAGTCTGCAGGGCTATGAACCAGGAGCTACATTATGGGGAACAGTCAGCAGAGCAGAAGAACAGATCATTTGATTAGTGGAACATTAAGACAATTAAAAAAGGAGAGAATCATTAACACTTGTGGGATGAACAGTTTAGAAGGAATCAGGTATATGAGAATAAGCCATGAAGTCAAGTGACTTCCTTGACTTCTGCCTGAATAGAAATGCTGCTGCCACTGCCAGGCACTTGGTTTTAAAATCTGAGTATACCAGAAATCAAAGCAAGGTGCAACTGCACTGCCCCCAGCTGCCCCTGCTTACTTGATATGATTCACCACTACGTATAGCATACCTACCAAGAATTGTTCATCTGTCATTTAACCTGGCTTCATAGCCGCTTTGTATTGCCCAAGTGGCACAAGGCAGCATAACCATACCATGAACTTGTTGGTTCAAGGGTGACAGGCAGGTGGGTTGGTGCTGCTCCCTGGTGGAGGAATCAGCCTGGCTCAACTTGAGCCTCTCCAGGGCTGGGCCAAGGAGACAGGAACATCCCTGGTTCTGTCTGTCCCGACCCCTGTAGGTCCTTGTCCCAGGTGCAGCAGGAAGCTGGAAGCTGGCAGGGCACTGAGTCTCTCTGGACATCCCTGCCTCTGCACAGGCTGTGCTGAGCTGGAGGATGCCACTTCACTGCAGAGCAGTAAGGCAGTTGGGGTGGGGAGGGGAGGGTGTCTCCAGGTTCATGTTGGCTCTGTTGGCATTAGGATAGTAATACAAACCAGAATACAGTGAGACTGTGTTTATGAAAAGGCATTTTTTCACACTGGAGCAAACGTAAGCAAGGTTATGGAAAAGAATATCTGAAGCAACAGCAGGCATGAAATTTACTCTGACCTAAGGGCAGTTAAATACATCATAAGTCCTGGCTTATGTATTAATATTCTGGGTACCAGAAGGTACTGTAACATTTCAAACTGTGTGCACAACTGGTTACCACACTGTAGGCACTTTTACATGTGCTCCAGGGGTGGGGAGCACAGCGCTTTAATTAAAGCATGCCATGACTCCTGTTTCAGTGTCCCCGCAACTTAAAAATGGTGGTGGTGGTGCTTGAACTAAAGCTCCTTCAATTTAGTTCAAGTGCTCCTGCTGCCGTTTTTAAGTGTGGGGGATGCTGATACACGAAATATAGGAGGCTGCTGGAGCGTGGTATTTGCCACACTCCAGCAGACTAAATTAACTGAATCTGCTCGCGCACCAGAGCAGCCTCCACGCTCATGTACAGGCACCTGTAATTCTCTACGTCTGTAGTTCGTACTGACATTTGTGCTCTTTCTACTTACCAACTTCTTCCTCATTCTTCAAGAAATGCAGTAAGCCCAAATGTATAATTTGCTGGAGGGAGAGATGACTGAGGTTGAAAAGAGTAAACGTGGTCTACTGGTTAGAGCGCAGGCCTAGGACTCAGGAGATATGGATTCCTTTTCCTACTGCTCCACATACATGCTCTGTTACTTCTACTGGGCTAATGTTTCTAAAGCCTCTGCTGGTTCTGGGTGGCCAGCTGGGGAGTTTATGCCTTGTTTTCAGAGAAGCTAAAAGCCCATAACTGTAATAAAATTCAAGAATTGGGCAAACTTAACTGAAGTCAGGGATTTGGGGGTTTCAAATACAAGCTCCAAAAAACAAAGAATGCCTTTTAAACTGTAGGTCTGGGCCCTATCTGTAAAAGGGAGGGATGGGAATAAATATATCACTTGGCCTTCAGGCATTGCAAGGGAGGAAATGTGTGATTAATAAACTTTTTAATGTTTGCAAATCACTTTGAAATCTTTGAATAGACAATGCTATAACATTGACAAGTATTATTCAGTATAAATATAACCATTAAGTCTATATCCAGAATGTATCCAGAATAGATATGGATATCTATTGCTGTATCTGTACACACCTGCACTGGCAAAAAGATTAGCTCAGGCTTGTCCAACATACGGCCTGCGGGCCGCCATGTGGCCCGCCAAGCCATTTTCTGTGGCCCGCAGTGCTGTCGGG